AAAAAAAAAAAAAGCCTGAGAAGGGGAAGGAAAGCTCATTTAATACATTTACAATAATTTACAGCCATTTTTTTCTTGTAAAAAGGCATAATAATAGATCACAAACAGGAAATTTCTGGCTATATTACAGATATAAGTACAGAATTTAAATATTCAAGCTTGTGATGAAAAGCGGCAAGGTGGTCGCAGTGTACAATGTAAACAAGTAGCTTTGGAAAGTGAACAAAGTCCTTGAGTGTTTTTTCTTTATTAAGAAAAGAACTCTCTTTCATTCCTTCCTGAAACATGATCACAGGTCAGAGTAAAGTTCATATACAAACATAATTTAAATGAAGGTCAGTCTAAAATCACTGACTTAAAAACAGTTTTATCCAGCCTATATTCGAGGGCAGTGTTGAGGTCCCTGTTATAGTAAACATTTTCCATTTCTTTAAAAAATAAAAAAAAAAGTACTACAATATCTGTAGCACAGTGCAGCATAATCCTTAAATATAAAAATATTTTCTCTTCTGTTGGGATAATAGACCTTGCATCCTGGAAAGAAGTAACAATACTGCTACTGATAGAAGATCTGTTTATATCTTTCAAGTCATGTAAGGCAATTACTGTGTTGGTTTATGATATATGGCTAAAAGAAAAGTCCAGAAAGACAAAACATCAGTTTTTGTTATGTTTTCCGACTGCTCCAGGTATGCTCAGGTGTACTTTTGTGTTCAACTGAATGTTCAAATGGAGATCTGGAGCCATAAGGAGACCTCTGATCTAGTGGTGATCTAGGGCCACTACTGGAAGCTCTGTGGTCCATTTGCCAATCTGAATGATACCTATAATCCCTGGAAGATTTATGGTGTATATATTCAGAACTTGACCGGTGATCTGAATGTAACCGATGATCTGAATGAGATCGATGATCAGAATGAGATCGATCTTTTAAACTTCCTTCCAAATTTGACCTGTGATCTCTACTCCTGTGATCATCCAGTTTTCTGTGTTTTTCTCTGTCACTGTAATATCTAATAAAAAAGAAATTAGGTTTTTTAGTCAAACTAATAATTTAAATTTAAATGTTTCAAAAATAATTTTATTAAAAAACAAAAATAATATTTTAAAACATGCTTTTAATTGTATACAATCTCAGTATTTCATTAAACTATAAAAATGAGCTTTAAAATTACTGGAAATATCTCTTTGAGAAAATTATTTAATGCATAAAACTAAAGTGACCCATACTGAGTACCTCAGTCAGTAGCAGCTAATTTCCCATGCCCATCTTAAGAAAACTGCTACTTTTTATACTATGAATCACTTGTAATAATTCATCTTGATTGTCTGAAAGTTGGAAAGTGATAACTACAAGTATATATAAAAAAAACCCTTAAAATTCAACCCTTTTTTGAATGTTGAAGATAAAAAAAATGTAAATGTTATAATGCAGTCTAAAATAACGTATAAAGGATAATTTTCATTAGTTGGTGAAGTCTATTAAAACCTTCCTCAAGGTAACTTGGTCTATAATGTTTTAACACATAAATCATTATGTGATTTTACTCCATTCGTGTGGCAATTTGCTAAAAAATAAATGTGGTAATTTAACGAGAAATAATTTCTATGTTTGCCTGTTTAAAAAAATACACTGAATGTATGTTTTTTGGTTGAATAAAAGTTCTTATTAAAAACAATACAAAACTGCCTGTGAAATTATATATAAGTATATATTACTACAAATATGCCTTTTTCTTTTTATTATATTCCCCTTTCTAATATTAAGTCATTCTATAATGGATATGTTTAGTATGACAGAGGTTCTCAGAGAAGAAATTGTATTTGCAGCAATGTCTTCTAATTTCTTTTTCTCTTTTTAGTGCCGGGGATCAAACTCAGGGCTTCTTCGTGCCTGCTAAGCAAGTACTCTATCACTAAGCTATATCCACAGCCCTTCTAATTTCTTGCTGATCTTTACTTTCATTCTTAAAGTTTACTTTTTTAAAAAATATTTATTTTTCAATTGTAGTTATACACAATACCTTTATTTTACTTATTTATTTTTATGTGGTGCTGAGGATCCAACCCAGGGCCTCACACGTGCTAGGTGAGCGCTCTACCACTGAGCCAGAACTCCAGCCCAGTTTACTTTTAGTAATGATTAAAAACACTGCTTTACCAATAAAGGAGTAAATGCTATTGTGCTATTATTATATATTCAGGCTGCTTATTCTTCAAAGGTTTCAAATAATAAAAACAATATATATTTAAAACTTCCTGCTTTCGGGACTATACCAGAGTGCTGAGATTAAGTTTAACGTTACGTTGTATTCACATGAATTACTTTTTTCTTCTCATGATTTTTTAAAAACATGAAATGCAGAATTCCCTTCACCAAATTTGAACCATTATTTCATCATGTTCTATTTTACCCTATTATATTTTGAAAAGTATTTGAGGCAACAGTCTCCAAAGCCAATATTGTAGATATATATTAGAAATAAAATATCCTCTTAATTTAAAGGTACTTTTAAACAATAATGAATGCCACACGAACAGAACTCCTTACAATAACTTTCACCTCTCCTTGCATATTTTGATTCAGTTTTATAATCCAAAAACCACTTTATACAGAAAATCAGTTCTTATTAATAACAAAAAAGTGGTGTATGTCAATTTTTCTCATTTACAGAACAAGACCTAGACTGACTGTGTGAAAATTAACTGGTTGATAGGTCAAATACAGCAAGTATGGTTTAATTAAAAGGAGAAGGATATGAATAAGCAAAATTTCAAAAGTAACTTGTCAAATTTACCTGCTGTCTTGCTTGTAGTGATCCCACTCACGATGATCTTTACCATTACTAAATGATGAATATGGTCTTTTCCTGGAATCTCTCTTTTTGTAAGAATCTCCCTGATGACGGTCTTTATGATGATCGTGATACTGAGATAAATGTCTATCAGAAGAATAACTATCCCTGCTGCTATCATCATGATTTGTATTTTCTTTTAATCTTTCCACATCTGTTGAATAAAGTCCAACTTTTGTTAATGACTTTAAAAAATGTGGTAAAAGCAACTTCTAGATAATGACTTCTGCCAAAACAAAATCATTTCCCAAATATAGGCAGTTAAACCAGTTTTAAAATGGTCTATAAAAGCAGCATAACTAAAGGTCACTGGATTCTGAAATGTTAAAAAAAAAAAAAAAACCCTCACAATTCATAAATACAGGGCCCACACAGTTTCTCAGATATTTGTGCCCTTATACAGAAAGAATACATTATTCAAAGTTACGTTAAAAAAATAAACATTCACCTTAAAAAATTATTTTACAACTTGTACAAACTGACAAATTGGCTGGTTTATGGAAAAGATAATAATAATAATAATAATAATAATAATAATAATGTAGAAATATATGAAAATTATAGTATTTTCAATATAAAAGTACTTTTAAATTGGAACGACTCAATCCTTTTTATAATTTGATTAAAGCCCCCCAAAAGACAATTTTTTTTTTAATCTTCCAGAACAGTTAATAAAGCTTACTTACCTGGATTTCTAATCATATGAGCACTCGAGTTACTGTTCTGGTCATTGTTTTGCTAAAATAAAAAAAGAATCTTTTAAATGCCTTCAAATACCCCTATAAAACAGAGGAATAGGTGGAATTCTTAAAAAAGGAAATTCTGATAATAAAGTTTCACATAAGACATAAAAATGAATATGTAACATTAACAAATCTTCTTTTTTCTCTAATCTATCCCATGATTGTTTTTTAAAACCAACTTTGAGATTTTATATTTAACACAACAGTTGTAAAAACAGTAATGAAAATTCCCTTATGTCCTTCACCTAGCTTCTCCTAAAGTTAACATCTTATATAGAATAATGATCAAAACCAAGTAATTAACAATGATTGACTCAATACTATTAACTGAAATATACTTTATTCTGATTTGACATTTTCTCTAATGTCTCTTTTCTGCTCCAGGATCCAATCTAGAACTCCATGTTACATTTAGTTATTATGTATTTTGTGATAATTCCTTAGTCTTATTGGCACAACTTTGACATGTTTGAAGCGTACCGTCATTTTCTGTGATTCCATTAATTTCAACTTCCTTCTGTGGATCTTACCTACAATATATATATATATTTTTTTTGGGGGGGGGGTGGTACTAATAATTGGACCCAGGAGTATTCTACCACTAAGCTATATCCCACAGCCCTTTTTATTTTTGAGATAGGATTAGCAAGGCACAATGGCATACACCTGAAATCCCAGTTGACTCCAGAGGCTGAGGCAGGAGGGTTCCAAGTTTGAGGCTACACTTGGCAACTCAGGGTCCTAACCAAATTAGGAATACCCTGTTTTCAAAATAAAAAATAAAAAAGTCTAGGGACATAGCTCAGTGGTAATGTGTCCTTGGGTTCGATCCCTAATACTGAAAAAAAAAAAAAATTATATATCAGACACAGGATCTTCCTAAATTGTTCGTGCTAGCTTTGAAGTTGTGCTCCTTCTGCCTCAGCCTCCTGAGCAGCTGCAATTACAGGCATGCACCTCCACACCCAGTGATGTTATTTTCTAATGCTGATTTTTCTGTATCATTCATTTCTTCTACATTTATTAGTTGAATTATTCTGTATTGAAGAATGAATCATGACTTTAATGACATAAATTAAGGAATAAAATATTATGCACTATTTTACCTGAGATTCTTGGCGTTTTTTAATAGCATGCTTATATAATTTATGCAATTTTCTTGCATCAAACTCAGTAAATTTAGATACGAAAATCCATAGGTTTCTAGAAGAAAAAAAGATAAAATTACTCTGGTGGAAAATATTTAGCTTTTTCATAGAACAACAGTCCCTGACAAAAACACATACACATGTAAAATTAGCCATTAATGAAACAAAGTCTAAAAAGATTAATTTTTGGAAGACTCTAATGATACAGCTCTAATTTCTCTTTCAAACCCCTTCATTTTGGAATGAAGAGCAGTAATAATCCTGATTTGAAATGGACCCAAAATATGTAAACAAACCAAGGAGGAACTCTCGAGATTTGTGTTATTATACAGACTTTGTATGAGATCAGGTTACGTTAACAGCCTGTGTAGAAACATCAGCAGATGATATGAATTAAGCTTCTCAAGAAAATGGTCTTAATGAATTAGAAATTGTTATTTTGGGGGCTGGGGATACAGCTCAGTTGGTAGAGTGCTTGCCTTGCATGCACAAGGCCTTGGTTTTGATCCTTAGCATCACACACACGCACAAAAAAATTGTTTTTGTGGGGGAGATGTGGGGGAGTAGTGGGGATTGAACTCAGGAGCACTTGACCACTGAGCGACATCCCCAGCCCTAGTTTGTATTTTATTTAGAGACAGGTTCTCACTGAGTTACTTTGCATCTCACTTTATCTGAAGCTGCTCTCAACTCTCAATCCTCCTGCCTCAGCCTCCTGAACTGCTGGGATTACAGGCGTGAGCCAACTGCACCTGGCAGTTTTTTAAAGAATCATTTTTGAAAATTTTTAGTTGGAGATGGACACCTTTATTTTTATGTATGCTGAGGATCGAACCCAGGGCCTCGTATGTGTGATGCAAGTGCTCTACCACTGAGCTACAACCACAGTCCAGAAATTATCATTTTTAGTGATATTATGGTCACAAAAGTAACAGGACACTCTAAGGTACTGGATGGTATATATCTTGACCTCTCTTCCCATCCAAAGGCAGCATCAGTAATTAATGAAAAATTTTAGTGATGATTTCCTAAAAAGTATGTATATTAGATAATCAAATTGTATGCCTTAAATATATATTTTTTATATTTTCAGATACAGCAAAAAAAATGCAATATTAGGTGCCATCAGAAAGCACGAATATTCTCTRTAAGTATAGCTGCACTAAAGTTTCAAAATTTTCTTCAGTTTATTATAATCATAAATAATTTAAAGTAATTTAAAAGCAAACTTGGCTAAGAAAACAAATGAATTTACAGACTATCTCTAACATACATATATTCTAGAATTAATTAATTCACAAGAGCAGGTGGTAGAAAATTAATAAACTACTTTTTTATTCATAATTAACTTCTTTTTAAAAATGTTTTATTCTAGAAAAATCTAGTCAGGAATTAGATTCTGATTACATCACCTACATAACTGTTGTTAGGCCAAAAGCACTAGAGGTGTTATGACCAGACAAGGCCAAAAATGAAAATAATAATAATAAAAAAAAACCTAATTTAATCTCTGAAGTATTTATCAGTTGGGGTCTTTCTGTTCCCCTTTTCCCTTTAAGGGAAATGGACATAACCAGAGACAGGCAGTGGCAGGATAAATTAACAGCAAGGAACATGGAAACAATGTGGTTAAGAATGAAATGGGAGAAAATTAAAAAAAATTATTTGCCCAATCTGGAAAAGAAAATAGATTGGAGCATGGCCTTTAGAGGTAACATGACACATGACTGGGGATGGGGGGGTAGCTTCTGACTACTGGTCTCTCTTCTTCCAAAGACTCTCTCCCCACTTCCTAATAACTAACTAAATCTGAAATAACATCTACTTGTATTAATCACTATTAAATTAGCTAAATTTGGCATCAGGAATAATGACTGCATTGTCTTTTATTTTTCTAGTTTCATGAAAGGTAAGCAAACAATAGTCAAGATTATGTTTGGGAACCATTTAACAGAACAAATTAAACTTTAGATCTTGAACGTTAATAGATAAAGAATTTGACCATATTTCCCTTTAAGTCTAATATACATAACTGAACTTCCTTGCATTTCTCTTCTTCTAGGGTTCCAGGCTTTGGAGAGCATCATGAATTAATAAGGTTTGAGAAGAATGGAATAATTCTGTTTATGGCACAACAGCCTCCCTCCACCCCCTTCACAGGTTTGTCACCCACAACCAACCATGGTCTGAATACATTAAATGGAAAAATCTTAAAAAATAAATAATGTTTTAAWTTTTGAGCCAATCTGAGTAGCAGGATGAAATTTCATGCCATCCTACTTGGTCCCAGTCCTACTCCATCTCACATGGGATGTGAATTATCCCTTTGTCTAGCATACCCATGCTGTGCTACTTGCCTGTTAGTCATTTAGTAACTCACTTGGTTTTCAGATCTACTGCAGAGCTAACGTAGTGCTTATGTTCCAGTAACCTTTTTATGGCCCCCAAAGTGCCTGCTGCCAATTTAGAAAAAGAAGCCATAAAGTGTTTCTTTTATGTGAAAGGTTAAAGTTCTCAACAGATAAAGAAAAAAAATATCATACACTAAGGTTGCCAAGATCAAGAGTAAGAACCAATCTTGTATCTGTGAAACTGTGCAGGGGATTAAAAACAAAAAACAAACCAAAAAAATGCTCCTTTTGTTGGTTATAGATACAGTACAAGTACTGAGCTAAGATGGAAAAGGCATTAATATCTTGCTGTGCCTTTAATTTATAAATTAAACATTAATGTAGTTATCTATATACAGGCAAAAACCTAGAATACATATGGTTCAGTACAATCCCTGGTGTCTGGCACTCATTAGGGGTCCTGAAACATACCCTGAAGATAAAGGCAAACTGCTATGTGTCTATATTCCACTTACAAATAAAAGATTATGTCAGACACTGTGTACTTTAGGATCATGGTCTCTCATTCATCATGATACAATCAAATTTACCATGAAATAATTGAAAAAACATACAGTGCCTCACAGTTTAAAAAGTGCTTGAATACAGATGTCATTCTGGAGATAACAGATGTTATCTGGAGATAACAGTGGAGCTCAATGATACTGATAACTGTTTAAGGTTACAAAGTAAAAAATGGGGACACTAAACACATTTTCTGATGCCAACTTTAGCAATCATTCCAAGATTTCATACATGCAAAAATTTAGGCTATTATTATTATTATTGTCCATGCATGGATTTGGTTTTTATAAACATTATATTATAGTTTGCACTTGTGTACAAAAGCCTAATGGTTATTATAATCAACTTCCTAGCTTCTTTTTATAAATGGGTTCTAGTTGAACTTATGAGAAAGGAAATGAAACAACGAATGGACATACACATATACATATATAAAATTTTAATCATTAAAGCTCCTCCAGTAAGTTACTTACATTTTTTGGTTTTGACATATAGCTACAATGCATATAGCAAAGAAGTCAACAAACTGACATCACTGACAGTTATGTGCCAGTCTTCTCTCCTAATTAAGTCTAGAAGTTGGATTTAATTTTAACTCTGATCTGGATCTGATCATCATTTAGACGTGATTTGAAAAATAAAAATAGTATCACAGCTAAGACTTACAACATTAAGATAAACTGTGTTCCATCTTTTTTTTTAAGTAAAGGGAAAAAATAGAAGTTTACATTTTACATTGGTTGGAATGTTTTAATTTTTATGACTTTATATACATATGCAGAAGATAAACTGCTAAATTTATGTAAAATAAATTCTTTAGGCACACTGATTTCTAAAGATGTTATTGAGAATAATTTGCTGAATTGCAAAGAAATTTTAAAATAAAATGCAATGACTTTTATTTTAAAATGAAAACCTCTTTTTCCTATTTAAAAGCAGAGATGCCACCTGTAGCTTATCATGATAGATAAATAACCATTCATGAATAAATGCTTTGAAATCAAAGGGAGAAAATTAAAACACTCATTCTCACATTACTTCTTTAGATGCTATTTTGTCACTTAATCTTTCAGAGGTAGAAAAATAAAAACACAAAATAGTTACAAATTTATAAATTGCCCAGTTCCTGAAAAGTTATGTCACTTACTTTCTCCACTGCTTTATTTGTTCAGGATTTGTATACTCTTTCAAACATTCTGTAATATGATCTCCAATTTTTATTAAACACTGTCTAGTATGCTCCAGTTGTTCTCTTTCAGAAAGGCCTTTCTCAGGCCTATCAAGTTGTTTCAAAGCCGCTTTGACAGGCCTCATTCTTTCTTTACACTTAAAAATGGGAAAGATATAAATTTATTAAAAACATGAATTCAATAAGATCTATTTCAGTGATATTTACATGAGTAAATATAGTGGCAAAATATGCAGTAAATCACACAACTAATATACAAAGATTTTCATTATTTAAAAATCAATCTTTAAGGAAGCAAAAGCTTTGTAATTTACTCAGCTAAAAAATAATTGTTTTTTATACTGCAGTGCCCCATTCTGAGTAGACTTAAACAGAAAATACTAAGAAATGGCAAGAGTAATACATTTCAGAGTAAAACTTACCTATAATAACTATAAGTAAAATGCAAAAAAAAATGGATCTTTATATAATACAGGTGTATAAGCTGTGTAATCCAAATCTTTGAGACAAAGCAATAATTTTTTTTTTTTTTTTTTTGGTGGTACAGGGGATTGATCCCAGTGCTTGACACATGCTAGGCAAGCACTCTAAAACTGAGCTGTATTCCCAGCCCTTTTAACTTTCTGAGATAAGTTCTGGCTAAGTTGCTCAGCCTGGCCTTGAATTCATAATCCTCCTATTTCAGTCTCCCAAGTAGCTGGGATTAAAGATGTGTACTACTACACCCAACTACTGATAATTTTTGTTACTTTTATATTTTGAGTGTTGGAAAATAGTGGATGGGTGATGGAGATTAAGCTTTTCCTTGATAAATACTTATATGGCAAAATGATGAGACATCAAAAATTGTATAATTCAGTTTTATTACACTAACAGAAACTATGGCTGTATACCAAAATCAGAATAAAAATGTTACTAAAAGGATAAGCTGTAGATAAAATTTATGAGTATAAATATAAAAACAAATTTAAACAAATATCCATATCAATTTATACATGAGGAACAATTTAGTTTGATTCTAAGAAGACAGGCTAACATCAGACAACATATTTAGTTGATGCCATTTATTAAAAAAAGAAATCCTTACTCCACCACTCTAAAGGGCCATTGTATTGGTATGGATTTGCTTAGGAGTATTGTATTCTGTTTTACTGGTGAATCAGTTGGGAAGTTTTTCATTCTTTGTCAAGAATAGGTAAAGTATCATTAGAATTGTGTATTCTTTTGGTTCAAACTAGAATTCAGTTACACCCAATGCCTTTTTTTTAAAAAAAAGTGAAAATTCTTGATTTCCTACATAATTTTAGCATTATCCATAGTTACTCTGTTTCCAATTTTTTATATGATAGTTTATACCCTGCTAGAAAATAATTTGTTCGATATATATTAAGTACAAGCTATACTCCTGTCATTATCTATTTTTAGGAAATAGAGCAGTAAGTCCGACAGTGATGTTGAAACCTGGACTTTTCTTAAGAGAGACAAAAAAAAAAAAAAAAAAAAAGCAAAACCAGAGCAAGGAGCTTCCTAACTTATTAAGATTTTAGGAAAGAATGATATTTGAGAAGACACCTTAAAATGTTATGACATTCCAAGTAGAGGGAAGATAAGTACAAATGTCCTAAAATCTGTTTGATATGTTTAGAAGAAAATGAATACCAACGTGGCTGGAACCAAGTGAGAGAAAGATAGCAGGATGGTGGAAGCTAACCAGATGCTCTACTTTTGTTTTTATCTTGAAAAAGATGGAAACACCATTTGAGAATTTGAAATGCAGAATTAACATTGTATGACTCTATTCTTCCGATAACCATCAAAAACCTCTCTGGTTACTGTATGAAATAAAAACTGAGGTAGACGGGGAAGGGTAGAAGCAGTAAGAACATTTAGAGATGTCTCTGTGTATAGAGCCAAAAGAATTTGCTAATTTGAAAGTGAACAGAGAAGAAAGGGATAGATGACTAAAATGTGTGCCAAGGATAAAGTCTAAAGATAGGAAATGGAGAAATTATAATACTTTACAAAGTCCTTTTTAGGTACTAAAGTCTATGTTTTGCTTCAAATGTCGCATCCAACCCTGACAATAGTCCTTTTCTATCTATTTTATAGAACAAGGTGACAACAGTCAAACCCAGGCCAACTGACTCAAATCCTCTATTTCTTAATTTAGCACTGTTATACTATCATTTCTGAAACAAATCAATGAAATATAAGGAAGATCAAGAAGTGCCAATACGGCAAATATCCAACAGGATAAAGAACAAGAAAAGAGTGTTTAATTTCTTATCATTAAGAGCTAGTTCCCAATAAAACAGAATTCCTTAAAAAGAATCCAGTGTAAGCCTAGAAAGTCTGGCTCCAGAGTTCATATTTAAAACTATTCTATTCTTCATTTCCAAGATATACAAAAGATCATTTGAAGATTAATGAAGAGAAAATTCATGCATTGTGCACAGAAGAAAACTTTTCATTTGAGCAGTGTCCTGAAAGTTACAAAGCTCAAGAGGAAATGTAGGTAAAGAAAAGAAGCTAGAGGAACAATCTTACCTTACACAGTAATTAAGTATATAGAGTAGGGAGAGCTGATTCAACTGAGGAGTTTTATCTTCTTCACTCCCACCCAATAGAGAGAATTAAAAAAAAAAAAAAAAAGTCAATAGAAAATAGGGAGGCTTGATTAAAGTCACAAATAAAAAGGTTATCCTTAAAAATGAGAAAAGGAATCCCAGTGCATGAGACTACAGAAGAGATTAAAATGAAAGGTCATTGTAGGATGTTAAGGAAAAGGTACACACTCATAAGTTGCTGGTTCAACTGCAAATTGGTGCAACCACTCTGGAAAGCAGTATGGATTTCTCAGAAAACTTGGAATGGAACCATCATTTGACCTAACTGTCCCTCTCCTCGTACTATACTCAGAGGACTTAAAATCAACATACTACAGCAAAGCAGCCACATCAATGGTTACAGAAGCTCAATCTACAATAGCTAAACTCAGAACCAACTTAAGTACCCTTCAATAGATGAATGGATAAGGAAAATGTGGTACATATATACAATAGAATATTACTCAGCCATAAAAAAGAATGAAATGATGGCATTTGCCAGTAAATGGATGGAACTGGAGTCTATCATGCGAAGTGAGTGAAATAAGCCAATCCCCCAAAACCAAAGGTTGAATGTTTTCTAATATGTGGATCTGACTTACAACATGTAGGAAAAGGGAGGTGGGGAGGTTCATCAGATGGGACAGGTCATAGTGGGAGGAAGAAGGTAGAGATGGAAATGGGCAAGACAGTAGAATGAATTGGACATAACTTGTCTCTATGTTCATATATGAACAAAGGACCAGTGTAACCATATCATGTACAACTACAAAAGTGACAAGTTATACTCCATGTATGTATTTCAAAATACATTCTATTGCCATGTGTAACTAAAAAGATCAAATTTTTTAAAAAATTCTGTTAAAAAAAAAAAAGGAAAGGCCAAAAATAGCACATATGGCTCAAATAAATAAATAGTAGATAGGAACAGCTTACTTTGAGTGTTCCAAATTCTCAGTGACTGGAATGATACCAACTGTTAACAGAACAAGAAAACTGTGAAAATGTGGTAGGAACTACTATGTTTAAAAGAGCATGGAAAGCTATTGTAGGGGATGTCATAAAATCTACAGAGAATGAGCACGTATTCATTTATCAGTACTTTCCAGTCAGCATCCAAAGGAGAAAAAAAGCGTGAAAAGAGGGCAAGAAGAATAACATAGTGGCCAATCACAAATTTAGTGTTAGAAGGGAAAATGTATATCTTTCAAGTAAAGTATTTGATTAACAACAATGATAAAACTAAAAGATAATAACCCAGTCTAACCAGTGATGTATGTTAATTGCTCAACTAGCATAAATCCTTAAGAGTCTAGAATAATGTGCATATCGTAATCCTGGTTCAAGCTCTGAAAATTCGATACCTATCTTGTCTTACTCAGTCCTTTTCTCTATAATTATTACTTCTTCCTAATTTTGCTCTATACTTAGACTTTTTAGTTTCTATCATTCTACTCTCATACCTGAATTCAGTCATAACCTCTACTGAAATCACTATCAATTTTCATGTTTCTGGAGCTTTTTGGAGGAGAGCACTGTTTGAAAACTTTACAAGTACCAATTACTTTGAGTAACATAAAAGCATGCTAGCAAGTAGAACTAGTATAGTTTAAATCTGCTGTTCAAAAATAAAGTATGGGGGGGCTGGGGATGTGGCTCAAGCGGTAGCGTGCTCGCCTGGCATGCGTGCGGCCCGGGTTCGATCCTCAGCACCACATACCAATAAAGATGTTGTGTCCGCCGAGAACTAAAAAATAAATATTAAAAATTCTCTCTCTATCTCTCTCTCCTCTCTCACTCTCTCTTTTAAAAATAAATAAATAAATAAATAAAGTATGGGAACCCGTGTCAGTCTGAAACAAAATAAGTACAGAAAGTGAGTGCGTTCAGAAACATTCACAATAATTTAACAGTACAATTTTAGGTCTACTCAATCTAGTAATAAAAAATTGCGGTTTATATTTTATATATAATTTTTTCTTCTTTTACTTTGTTAACATTTCCATTTTTATTATCTATTCTAAAAATACTGGTTTCTAATAAACTGACATAATAAAAATAATGTTTCACCATTGAGAAGAAACACTAGAATACTAAACCTACTGGTTTAAGAATTTACAATTCTTTACCTTAAAATTCCAAAGCTAAAGGAAAACGGTTCCCTCTAAAACCTTCTCCTTCGATCCTTATTAAAGGCTTTCCAAAACTGATTCTAATTTTAGCCCACTATCTAAAATTTAAATCTATTATTTATATCAATCTGAACTCACATTTGTCAAATACATTTCTAAGTTCATAGTTCAATTTCATAGGTGAAATTGCAACTTAGTAAAATGTTACATGAATTAATGCTAATAATCAGAAAGTCTACTGCTTACAATGCTGAATGTCTTCTGATCAAGTTCTTCAGATTCTTCAGATATGGGAACTGGTTCACCACTTGCAGTGATATGAACTGGAGCATCAGACACTGAAGATTTTTTGGATCTTTCTTTACTTTCAGACTTGGATTCACCCAGCTGAAAAGAGAAAATAAAAACAAAAACCCAACAGCAAAGGCAAAATGATTAAAACTTTCAGAAAACAATTACTGTCTCAATTTATCCTACACATGCTTATTCTCATTGAATATTTTTATCTATTTTCTTTTTTTAAAAAAAGCTACCCTATATTGTTACCATATATGTAAGGCATTAAAATGTATTCAAACCTGTTTTTCTCCTTTATACATTCCCACACATACTTCTAAAGAACTCAATTATATAGACTTATACTGATATGCAATTTAGTATCCTAAAATGTAAATATGCTGATTGTTTTATTTTCTAAATTTTACATTATGAATTGCATACCTTTTCTTCCTTTATGTCTTTTTCTTTCTGCATAGCTTCTTTTACTTTGCTTTCTCTTTTTTCTTTAAAATCTTTTTCCTTTATATCTTTCTTATCCTCTTTTTCTTTTATCTCCCTTTTAAGTTCTTTTTTATTCTCCTTTTCTTTTGCTTCCCTCTTCTCTTCTGATTCCTTCTTTATACAAACATCTGGCTCAGGTTTTTCTTCACTGTCTCTTTCTGTTTTAATTTTTTTATTTGGATGTTTCACAGAAGTGATCTCATCCTAGAAAGTGCAAGTATGGCCAATGTATTACTAACTGAATTTTGATAAAGACTAATTTTTTTTTTTTGGCATGACTATGTATTGCATGTATGTGGATTCTGAAGGAGATAACCCAGAATCCCCTTAAAGATACATGCAATGTTTATCTTCCTATAAACTAAAGTAAGCCAGTCCCGTTCAAATTAATAATAACCTTAAAGGAGACAGAAGTTCATTTAATTGGCAAATGTTTGAAAAGGAAGGACCTTTGCTTTATGCATCTAATGTATCCACTGCATAGGTAGAATTCTGTTCTGTAAGAGACTACATTATGCACCACAAGGGGAAAAATATTTTTTAAAAAGTAAGATTTCAGACCTTAGCTTAATTTTAAAATGTAACGCACTTGAAAACATGCCACGTTCCCATCTCCACAGAAAATGTTACTGTTCTAAAAATGCATTTTTACCTTATCATCTTCTTCATCAGACTTCTCTGAAGGCAGGGGAGAGGAATCGCTCTTTATTTCCTCTTTCAGTTTCATAGATTTTATTGCTTTATTCTTCTTAGCTCTTATTTTTCTTCGCTTTAAACCTCCCTAAAAACATTATTTTTCATTTTAACCAAACCCACAAATTTTTTAAAATTTTTCATTTTTATCATTTGCAGCATTGGGAATTGAACCCAGGACCTAGGTACATGTTATTACATCCTGGCCCAGAGATTTCATTATTTAAAAACTTCAAAAATACTAAATATAAAGGTTAGAATATATACCCCACCCATACTTTAATAAATACTAGCCGAGAAATGAGTAAGATGGGCGTGGTGGTACACGCCTGTAATCCCAGCAGCTCGGGAGGCTTGCGAGGCTGAGACAGGAGGATCTTTAGTCCATAGCCAGCCTCAGCAATTTAGTGGGGCCCTAAGCAACTGAGTGAGAACCTGTCTCTAAATTAAAAAACAAGTAATTTGAGTGGGATGTGGCTTAGAGGTCTAGAGCCCCTGAGTTCAATCCCCAGTACTCAAACAAAACAACAACAACAACAAACAAAACAGGAATGAGTAATATAAGTGGATTTTCACAATTAGGTTATTATCACCCCTGATTAAATTCAATGGTACCAGAGATACAATTAAAAATCAGTTTTAGTAGTACCCAGGTAGTTATTGTAGTCATAAGTAAACTTTTAATGGCTGCTTTAAGTTTCCAATCATCCCCTTCTTAGTGTCTTTTTTTGGAGCTTCCACATAAATAAGGTCAGTGACCTCTGATACTATTACTTAAAGTCTAATACCTTCCAATAAAACAGCTCCCTGGCTCAACCTCTCAAAGAGTACTCAATACTCTCACAAATTTTCTTTAATCCCTACCAAATACTAGAAATAAATGCACTCATCAATTTTAATATATATGGTGAAATAATGTAAAGAAAAACATTACCATATTCAAATAAAACTTTAAAGAAAAACTATAAGCTGTATTAACTATGCATGTCTAGGATGGTCAGTAAACTAGGTTTACCTTATACAAAAGAAAAGTAAACCACTCTTAAGCATCTCAATTTTAACTTACTGCACCAGAAAGTCTCAGAGCTTCTTTTTTCGCAAGGTCTCTACTAAGTAATTTGATGAGGTAGTCCGCACGTGTCTGCAACTGTTTTGCTTGTGGTTTTTTATCAGGATCATCTGGAAGAATCTGAAAAAGCAATTAAATTTCAGGTTAAATAACATAAAAAGCTTATTGGTGACAGGCCAAATTATACTGTGTGCAGGTATGAACATGTAACAATAAATACCATCAATGTATACAACTACATGCAACAATAAAAAATGTGGAAAAAAGTTTACTGGTAAAAAATATTTAACCATTTTAAGAAATATAATAACTCACTAAAGTTACAAATTTTAGTATTTATAGGAATGACTCATTCAATATACATTTTAAAAAATATCTACACCACAGGCAAAATTTAATTTTCTAAGAAATGAATCCTAAATAAATATACCTCAAAAAAGTCCCTTGTTATTACCTTTCAAAATGAAAACAGAAAAGTTTGATTACAAATTTCTTTCAAATATACAAAAAAGTGCATTTAACATTTGCTGTTATTAAATGTTACATTATCCTTAGAATCCCTTCCTCTCAATAACACCATATATATATATATATATATATATATATATATATATATATATAAATAACAATTCCTGGAATTCAGAGTACCACCTATTTAGAAGGTGACCTCCTGAGGAAATTTTCACAGTGGAAATCTTGACATTTAAGTTTTCCTTAATAGGAACAAATGATAAAGCATTGATACCTAAAAGTTAGTACTTATCTAAAGAGGTACCAAAAAAAAAAAAAAAAAAAGAATACTTCCAGTGTTTTCCATTTTATGCAAAGATATTCTTTTACCTAACACAGTAGAATCAAATCACCAAAAAACTTAAAAATACATATTTTTAAAAACCTTGACAGCTTAAGGATTGTTTTTTGTCTTCAAATAAGTTAATGATGTAACAGAAGATTTTTTAACCCAATAATCTAAAGGAAAATATACCTGTCTATACCTGTCTTAAAAACAAAAATATAATTCTAGAAGTATGGCAAAAGACTCAGAAATCACTTATTTAAACTTAATCCTTTCATGAAAAACAAAGTTCTAAAGAAGCCACGAGCACACAACTAACCAGAGCCTTCATTACTTATTCCTAGTTTATTTCCATAATAATTTAAAAGATTAGAATAAATTAAAGCCAACAAAGTCACGAGATATACAGTACCTTATGTGTTAGACTGAGGTCAGGATCCATTTTAATCATTTCCCAACTTCCATATCCATATTCATAAATACCAATTAACAAATTGGAATCATCTTCTTTGCCCCAGTCTATATCAAAATGAGCTGCCTTCGTGTGGCATGGGATTGTATACCTATTATTAAAGTTAATAATTACTTCCATGTTTATAACTGACATTAAAAAATTAATTCTAAAAAACATATTTGGGTCATTAAAAATTCTGGTCCAAAAGTAGCCAACAATGCCACAAAAACTTAACATACCTTCATATCAAAGCTACTTAATAACAAAAATTTTATAAAGTAACTCACTGCTTTCTTTCTTCTGGATCTGAAGGGATAGATTTGTGCAAAGGTATTAATTCTTCTTCATGGGAGATGACCAGCTTGGCATTCACTTGTACTCCTGATATTCGGAATGTTGGCCCCTTCACTTTTCCAAGTCTCCCACCTTAATTTTTTAGACAAGAGTATAGAAAAACATATAAAGCATAATTCTACAAAATACAGAACAATATGTGCTAATATTATTTATACCATTAAGAAAGGGATTACTGACAAAACTTTCACTATATATAATAAACCAATCATTACAATCTGGCAGATGTAGATTCAAATTGAATTTCATGTAATTAAGTAAATTATTAATCATACAAAATAGATCATCTATTTGTTCTGTCAGCCTCTAAATAAGAATTCTAGTATGATTTTTTTTCTTTAGTGTATCTATTATTAAACCTCATGTGAATATTTTTTCTTCAGGCATATGAACTGCAAAATAAGCATAATAAAATAACTGTGCACCAAACCAATATCACATGTATATATTTACATTTTCTTCTCCTACTTATCCATATTAAAAAGAAAGTTTAACAGTAATTTCTGACATTGTGTCCCAGTCAGAATACATCAGGGACTCTAAAGGATAGATTCTGTTGCCTTCAAAACTGGAATTCTGTTCTCCATTTCCTCTAACTCAGGTCATCCTTCCTTTGTCTTGTAAAGCATCTTCTAAAACTAATTAAACAGGTAAGTTAAGACATAACACCTAACTCAAAAAGTATATCTTGAAACTTTCATTTTTCTCTTTTAAATCACTCATTTTAATGTTACCTGTTCGTTCTGTTCCTGAAGAACTATCCTTTAAAGCTTTGATGCAGCCATTATGCACCAATTCTCCTAATCGTCTGAGGTCTGTTTCTGACTTATCAACTAATTCAGCATCTCGAGCAATTGCATCTAATCTGTATCAAAATAAGACAAATTTCAGGCATATGTGTTAAATGATGTAGAACTGTTTGTGATAAACCAAGCTTTCTATTTTAAGATCAAAATGTCACTCTAATAAATGTCTTATAAATTCTAGTTTAAAACATGAAAAAACCTAGAATAATTTAGTAGAAATACAAATTGTTTACATATTCCAAGACAATAAATTCTGAAAACTCATTACAGAGCAATTGAAAAATTAATTGGAAAACTGTATAATAGGTATACAGATTTGAAAATCATATGCCAATTCTATAAAATCTTTTTTTACAAATTGATCAAATTTTAAATAATACAAAATTTTTATGACAATTATAAGTGAGAGTAAACTATGCAACAGATAACATAAAGAAAAATTAACTCTTAGACATTTTTTCCACCATCTAAAATAATTATGCATGTATTTCATTGCATTTTTAGTTGCCTCAAAAGAAAATATAATAATCTCTATTTTTAAAGTTTTTAAGTGGAAAAAGTCAATTAATTTGAGTCTTTGCTGCTCTACATTCAGAAAGGGTTGGCTACAACAAAAGACAAAGAATATTTATATGACCAACAATTATTGGTATTAACCCATAGCTTAAAAAATTTTAGTTGTATATGTACTAAGAGGATGTAATTTAAAAAACTAAGAATTTTTCTAATTAGAAAAAACAGTGGTAAGTTAAATCAGCAACTCAGCACCTCTATGAATAAATTTGTGGTTCATAAGTTGTATAATGAAAAATCAAACGAAAAATACATTAGTTATAAAAATAAAATTTAAATTTGTTTTAGACAATTTCATTTATAGATAAGAAAAATTTATAGACCACAATAAAAATATCTTTTTAAAAAAATCTAAAATTTGATTCCTAGATTGTTAAGTGCCTCTTAAAAGCAAATTAAACAAGGTAGCAAACTAAATATTAATACAACTAAAGCAAGCTGACAGTTATATAAAATTTTAGAATTCTATGAGGATGACAAATGCATTTACCTTTCTAAAGGGCCACCAAATTTCTTATAGCTCTTGATAAACCTAGCAGAAAATAAACACTTGGTTGAAATGTGCTCTTCATTATCCATTTAAAAATACACATATATTTACAACATATGCAGAAATAAGATACTCATTTGTGCAAAAATAAATTCAGAGCACATTTACTAACAAAAAAATGAAAAAGGCATGTTATAAATACACAAACGTCAAAACATGAAGTTATATACCAAAGTAAAACAAGTACTTTTACACCCAGGATGAACTTAAGATACCAATGTAAATAAAACAATAGAAGCTAAATTTTAGTTTAGAATTACTTTATTATTTTCACAAGACTGGAAAAGGGTTCAAAGTTATCACAGGAAGTGTCTCCAGAATAATTATCAATCATACTACACCTCCTCACATTCCAAGTGCTGGTAAAAATAAGACAAGATGTGTGGTATTACACTAAACAATGGAAAATAAAAATTTTACTTCAGAAAAAAAGCTATGTAGGTGGTTGATAGATGAGGAAAAATATCCAGGAAAAGTAGAAGATGAAATGCTTCTCCAAGTAAAAACAGAACCAGCAAATCAGATGTCATAAAAGTGCTCTTAAGGAAAGCTAACAATGTATTTAGTTGTCTGCTAGGAAGAATGAGGAAGAACCTTATCAGTCAGGTCTATGATTTAAAAGACAAAAGTTACAATGGCTTGAAAGAAACAAAACAACAAACTCTAGAGTAATGAACAATCTTTTTACAAATTTCACATGCAAAACTATTATATTAACAAAATAAGTTGTTACCCCATTCCCCTTAAAGAAATATAGTATATTTTGAGCAAAAACTACAATTTATCCTGCATGGCTAATCTTAACCCATTTCCTACTTGGTCATATCAGAGATGGTTTGTTACTGTTGTTTGTTCTGTGGTGCTGGTGATCAGATAGATGCTTTGGGCATGCTAAATACATAATCTACCACTGAGCTACATCCCCAATCCCAGAAATGTTTTAAACATGGTTACTTTCAAAAAGCAATCACTTCAATGTTAAGACACTAGAAAAATACAGAACTAAATTATTCCCACAAAAAATTAATAATCCTGGGAATCAACAAAGCAGTGTGAATTTTTAATAAACAAAACCATTATTCTGAAATACATTAATAAAACCAAAAAATTTTAGTAGTCTAGCCTAGCAATAAATAACATGCAAAGATTAGAAGTTGAACTTGCTTTTACAGTTATAATGAACCCAAAAGCCAGGAAGGAATGCTCAATTCCTACTCAAACATCATATATTTGCCTTCTCTAAAACTATCATCTTAATTTTTGAAAATTATTAATTTTCATATTTTAGTTTTACTTTCTATGAAACCAAATTAAAACAAAATGGTCTATTATCATCTTACCGCCTAATTTCTGCATCATTAAATCCTTTAATATTCTCCCGAGGGATAGTGCGTGGTCTTCCACGTTTCTTTGGCCTTTTCCTTTCTGAGATTGAATCACTATCAGATCCAGAGTATCTCCTACTTCTACTGCGCCTCCCTTCACTTCCATTGAAACTAATCTGGAATTTGAAAAAAAAAATTCACCCAACTTAGGGTAAAGTTAAGCTTTTATCTAATGGGCAAAGAAAAACTCTATAAAAACTTAGAATATTCCACAAGCAAAAGTAATTAAGCAAACAGAACAAAAAATAACATGTTAATGACAAAGGGTTATTAATAGCCTTAATAATTTAAGCATGCTTATAAATCAATAATAATCACCAGTCTTTTGTAAAAATATGAAAAGTTATTAATAAGCAAGTAATCAAATATCAACTCCTTTTTAAAATCTATCACTGTTGACAAATACCAAATAAGTAATAATAGTCGATACTGATAATGGTACAGAAAAACAGACACTTATGTATCTATCTCTGTGGGTATTTAATTGAGGGCAGAGGGCAATTTTAGCAATATTATCATTGTATTGTAGAATAATTAACACTCATGATATACTGTCAAAGAGCAAAAAAATTCTATAACAATGTGACTACTATTTAACCTAAGAAATGAAATCCATTTAAAAAATTACAATGTTATATACTGTAATAATACTATTAGTCATGTATCTCAGAGTGGGGAAGAATGATTCCTTATCCCTCTTTTCTACTTTCCTTCTAAATATTCGCCCATTGCTGTTCTAACTAGGCTATATGTCAAATATCTATTTCACAGAAAAAATGCCACGTAATCCACTAAATGTCTATTCCTAATATCCACAGTTTTAACACATGCAGCAAAAAATACACTGTATTAAGAGTTTTTCCAAAGCCTCTATACATATTCTGAACCCTATTATTATTTTAACCTCCTCTAACCCTTTCATAAGACTTAATGTAATGCTATGCTTCCCATGCACTATAAAAGGAAATAATTTTAGAATTCACAGAAATAAATAAGAAACAACAAATGTAGTCCCTTTCAGGCCAAATTATTTGGTTCCACTACTGCCTGTTCTAGAGAAAACTGGCAGGGCATGGATCCAACCCTAACAATAAATCTAACCTATAACACAGAAACCAATCCACAAAACTACAACTATCTTATATTTGATAAAGGGGCTAAAAGCATGCAATGGAGGAAGGATAGCATCTTCAACAAATGGTGCTGGGAAAACTGGAAATCCATATGCAACAAAATGAAACTGAATCCCTTTCT